GTCAATTGCCTCGTCCACTGCAAGGAAAGTTGGCTCCCTGAACTGCGCTAGGAAGTTTTTCTCCCCTGAGTCGATCCTCCAGATATACAAATCCACAATCCGCCCTTGCATGGAGTATTGCTGCCATATATAGTCTGGCGCCCCTTCTGTTTGCCTCGGGGATCTTGATAGGCTCCAGAAGCGGATATGCAATATGGTTGGCCCTGCCCTGGCGTCTCGTCTACAGTCACTTTCTCACAGACGCGCCGTTGCCTCCCTCTGTCTGTTCTACAAATACTTTTATGGAAATTGCTCCAAGGAGCTGCATTCGCTGGTTCCCAGACATCATGAGTTCCAGCGACTTACGAGGCTGGCATCCTGTTCTCACCCCTTCACTGTCGAAACTCCTAAATGTAGCCGTATCTTCTACTCTGATAGCTTCATGTCTCGCACCTCTCGCCTGTGGAACTCCCTTCCCTTCTCCTGTTTCCCTGTGAGCTATAATCTCCAGCTATTCAAGTGTAATGTCAATGGACATCTCCAGTTGCCTTGATCTATCCACTACCCTCATCCTTCCTTCTATCACTCCTATCTGATCTTGCTATTTCCTGTAACCCCTTGCATCCTAGTGGCTTCCCGCCTTGCTTGGGGTGAAACGCTTAAAAAAAAAAAAAAAGTGTTCAGAAAGCAAGAACGGTGGATTGAACCAGCGGTATCTTGATTTTAACAAGTGACGTTGTAGTAATAGTGACTCATTTAAACTACAAAATATAAAGATCTGCGTTCCTATTGGACAAAAATGTTTCCAGTACTTTCTAATGGCATAAAGGGACCTCCACTAATTCGCTGAAAAAAAAGCATACCATGATGAAATATTGCCCTAAACTTGATAAAAACAGTTTTATCAAAATCTTTACATCATTATTAAGAGGAAAGACCAAAATATTTTTTGATTATTTAATTAATTTTTTTAATTGTTTACACATTCAAAATTTTGGTTAAAAATCTTCTTTATCTTTTGTCAGTGGGGAAACCAAAGATTAGTATAGGAAATAGCATCTTTTTTTTCAGTAAAAAAACACAGTGATTTGAAAATTCTTACAAAAATCAAATAATTGCTGGATTTTAATGAAACTTTCAGAACTTATTCAAAAAATGAAGGAAATTATTAAAGAATATTTTTTTTTAGAAAATCTTGGTAAAAATATTTTACATCTGTTACCCCCCGCCACTTAATTAAATTTGGAGAAATTATATTTTCACCCCCTCAATATTTATATTAGTTCAAAGCAGAACTCCTTTGAGAATTTAAATTAATTTTTTTGTAAAACAGAAACACCATTTACTGAAAATCTGCTGTGAATTGTAAAAAAATAAAATGAAACTAAGACATTATTTAATTAGATCAACTTTTAATTGCTTTTATAAATAAGATATATTAAGCACACTATTGTCTTAAAAAAATTTGATTCATTTAATAAATTTTTACAAGAATTGTTTTCACTATTTTTTTAATTTTAATTAGAATAATTTATTAAATTTTAAATCTTTTAAAATTCTGTATAAATGTCACCATTTTAGATATTTAGTAAAAATTATATTTATTAATCATAAATGGAAAAGCTTAGTACAAATCATCAAAACACTAATATTTTAAAATAATTTTGAATTTTTTTGTGTATAAACATGCCAATTTTTGTAGATACGGATGCTCATACATAACATTATCATAAAATAAGAGTGATAAATATAGTAAATTTAAAGCCAAAATATCTAAAATTCAATAAAACATTTGATTACAGAGAATATTTTCCTAAATTTTCGAGATTACTGAGTACTTAAAATTATATATAAAAGATGCTCACATTATATTCTTTAATTATTTTTGCAGATAAAGCCTCCATAGAATAACATTAGATAAACATTCATCTGTCATGAAGCTGTCAACATATCAACAGCTTAATTAAACAGCTACCGCCATGTTAAAAAAAAGCATTTCTGTAATATTTAAAACTTAAAGTAAATATTTGTTTCAAATCAAATTAATTGTAATTTATATCAGCTAATATTCATGAAATAAAATTTCAGAAAAGTATATTTTATTTTTGGAAGATTTCTTTAATAAAGAGAATTGCATTCTGATGACAGGTGGCTAAAAATGGCACTAAAATCAACAATTTCAAAACAAAAACTCCTTTCAACTAATTTCAATTCATTTTGAAATACAGTATATTGGAAATATTAAATTTAATCTATTAGCTTGAAATTAAAGCTAAAATTAAAGCTTCAAGAATGATTTTTTACTTTTAAAAATTCATTTTAAACCTTAAGTATCACAAATCTGTGGAGGCACCTACATAAAGCTTTTTAAAATCAACTTTCATACATGCTTTTATTACTGAATATCAATCTCTCAAAAGTTTATGAATATATATATATATTATATATATATATATGCATGCAAAATACTGGCATCTAAAAATAGTTAAAATAATTTTGATAAAATTTGGGCAAAAGATAATTTTGTGTGTTCAACAACTGAAACTAAACCAGTTCTATGATTGAATGGTTTGTGTTTTACAGTTTATCAACCTTTTGCAGGTTATTTAAAGTCAGAAAACATTTTTAGATTGTAACAATTTTTTGGAGATGATAATGAATTACTGATACAACTTCTAATAATTAACCCATAGCTGAGGGGGAGAAGAGGTGGATTCATACGAAAGGTATTTGTGCATAAGTGAATATAATGAACCTGACTGGAATTAAAACTCGGCTATTTCTAATTCCCAGCCATTATCCATTACACTACCCACACATTCAAGCTTACAGTACCTGGCATTCCAAAGTGGTCACCCATCTAGGTACTGACCAGGTCTGATATTGCTTAACTTCGATGATCATACAAGAAAATCCACCAGTTCTATGAACTTACAGTATGCTTCCAAAAAAAGGCTAGCAAAAAGAACAGGATTTTGGGTGATTTATTTCACTTTTTGTTTTTGACATAAAATCTTTTGAAATTGGAAGATTCTTTTCATTCCAATATAAAAATCATCAAATTTATAAAAAAACAGCAACAAAGATGAATGTAATAAAAAAACACAGAATTTTAACTAAATATTAACATCTATTTTTTAATCATTTTCACCCCAAGCAAAACAATAAAGCCACTAAGATGCAAGGGATTATTGAGTGTGAAAGAATATGAGAAAAAGGAGTGAGAATAATAAAAGAACAGGAATTAAGAAGACAGAAGATAACGATTGACATTGCACTTAAATTTTTGAAGATCAAAGGCAATAAAGCCACTAGGATGCAAGTGGGTTACTGAGTGTTAGAGAATATGAGTAAAACTACTATTAAGGAGAGGGGACAATAAAAGAACAGGAATTAAGAAGACAGAAGATAATGGTTGACATTGCATTTAAATTTTTGAAGATCAAAGTTGTTTGGTTCGTTTTACGGTATATCAACCACAATGGGTTATTTAATGCTGACAAAATTTTTTTCCTTCAAAAATGTATAGCTGATAATATCTTCTTTTTAAAAAAATTTTTTTTTTTACACAAAGTATTTCTAGTATTAAATCATATTTTACACTTATATAGTGTTTTGACCAAAGTTGACTGCAAAGCAAAAAGTAGGAAGTGAGTTCCACAAGCAACTTGGGCAAAAAGAAAAAACTGTTAGCTTAGAATTTATGGTTACATCTAGCCATTTCAGCTGTAAAATGATGAGACCTAGCTGCCACTCCAGTACTTCACCAAATTCACAAGGTCCAGGCACCAAAGAGGAAAGCTCGCCAGAACAATCACCATGAAAATATTTATAGAAAAGGCACAGGAAAACCACAACACGGTAGTGGGATAGCAACCAAAGCCGAGACGCCATGCGGGGACCGACAATATTAGATTCCTCCCTAGATCTCTCAAAGAATCTCCAACCACATAGCAGAAGCACCAGACCAGATATGGCAGCAATATTCAATGCATGGACAAATGGTAGATTTATAAATGTGTAAGATAGATTCTGGCATGAAAAATTGTCTGGCATGACACAGTAAACCAACTTTATTACCAGCAGACATAGCAATTCATTAAAAATGAAATCAGTTTGATGGCTGCAGTACCTTGCCAATTAACTGGTGGCATCCTATTTTACATTATCCCTAATACATTTCCATGCTTCTAAAATTAGAGATAACCATCATTTTACCAAAGGGATTATATTTTTACATGCATATAATAAAAATATAGTTTTATGGTATGCTATATTTATAGGTAACAGTGGTCAGTATCAGGGGTAGAGTATATGCAAATATGAAAGTTAACACAAAGCAGACTTGAAGATTGTGTTCAAGCATGAAACAGACTGTTGCCTCCCTGTTGACCTTAGTGTCCACTTATGCACAGACAAGTGAATGCACACATATACTATGAAAAAAAAAAAAGAACTTGCACCAATGAAAAGTGCATATAAAAAAGAGAAATTGAAAAGTATCAGCAGTCAATTGGTGATATCCCTTGATGAGTGGATAGATTAATTCCTGGAGAAGTCATCTAAGAACTTCTGGGGAGTTGAGATACTGAAGGTAACATCAGTCAGCAAAGTGACAAACCTTTTACTTATATTCTCTCTCTTCTTATATATATATATATATATATATATATATGAGAGAGAGAGGGAATTAATATATAAGAAAAGCTGACCATCATATCAACGGCTTAATTAAACAGGTTGTTAAAAAAAACATTTCTGCAATATTTAAAACTTCAAGTAAATATTTGTTTCAAATTAGATTAATTATACTGATAATATCCCTGAAATAAAGTTTCAGTTTAAGGGGTATCAGTCTCTGACTGATGACAAATCAGTTGAGTTTCAATCCCGGCTTGAAGCAATCGGATGTCTAGTTACACTGATGAGCTGTGATACAGCGAAACAGCCTGTATGTGGATATGTGTGTGTGTGTGTGTGTGTGTATATGTATATATAATTTATCATGTTGAAATACTGTTTTTTGTCTGATCAGCAAAGTTAAGCAATGCTGAGCCTGGTCAGTACTTAGATGGGTAACCACTTGAGAATACCAAGTGCTGTAAGCTTGGACATGTGGGTGGGACTTGGAATGAGAAATTGGAGAGCCAAGTTTCAATTCTAGTCAAGTTTGTTACATTCACTTATGCGTAAATAACAGGACAGGCTGTAACTGTAGCCTTGGTTGTCAACCAGTCTAAGAGAAAGAAAACTCTAAAATCAAACCAGGATGGAGACAGCAAACAGCAGATGAGCTTCTTATAGGAGTCAGCAATCAACATGCACTGAGGAGATAGAAAACTAATAAAAAATAAAAAAAACTTATGATTGTAACACCATTGGATATGTGCACTAGAGAATGTGCATTGCAGGGCAGACAGGCAATTGACCATTTTAAACAGTTTACTTGTGCAGGTTCTTAAGTAAAAACTTCAGAATTTACTGGACCCTGATCTGTCATTCTTGACAGGAGAATCCATCCACATATATATATTTGTGCATGGAATCTAATTTAAAGAAACAAAGAATGTACCAACCTTAAAATTCTTATATAAAATAAATGGGAAAAGAAAAGAAAAAAAAATTAAACTTCCAATCACAAGAAATGTTTAATAATAATAATGAAAAAAAAAAAAAATTATAGAATTTTACAAGAGTTTTTCTAATTATTGTTGGATGAATTTTATCTAAGGTTACATGTCGTGCTAGACATTTTTTTCCAGCCAGAATCCATCTTTCACATTTATAAGTTTACCATTCATTGAATATTGCTGTCATATCTGGTTTGGTGCTTCTGTTATGTATTTAGAGATTCTTGATAAAATGCAAAGTTGAATCTGCAATATTATTTGGCCTGACCTGGCATCTCAGCTTCAGTCACTTTCCCACTGCCATCATATAGCTTCCCTGTGCCTTGAGGACATCTGTGTATGAATTTCTGGGTATTATAAACCTAATGTCTTCAGCAACCATTTTTACAAGTGCTCATATTGCAATTTTTTTTGCAATATAGAACCTATCTGTTTCTCTACTCTTCACACAAAGGCCTTTATCATTTAAGAAAGTTTTCTCTTCAACTTCTTTTCTTTTTCTCATATTTTCTCATACTTAATAACCCTTTGCATCTTAGTGACTTTATTGCCTTGCTTGAGGTGAAATGATTAAATTTTTTTTTTTTATACCTTCTCCAACTTTTAATATTTGCCCTGATCTACAATCTGCCACAAGATGGCAGCTTTGTTTCTTTTCTTCTTTTTTTGTTGCATTTTTTTTCTCTCAACTGTAATTAAGAAAAGTAGGATTTCAAACTTAATCTCTGCAATTTACTCTTGAAGAAACAAAAGAGAAAGAATTTGTGTAATCAAAATACATTTTTATTTACAGGGATCTTCATTATGAAGATTAAAAAAAAAAAACAAAGAACACAGTACATAAATAAGAAATTCATAAAAAATAAACACCATTCAAAATGTGATATTTGTGTATTAAATTTAAAAAAAAATACCGTTTTAATCATAAATACCACAGTTGCATTCACACAATTGTGTTAATAAATATAACACAGAATATTTAGTCACATTTGAATTTTAGTGTATAAAAATATATTTCGATATGATGCTAAAAGATTACTATTTACATGTGGACTATTATCCTCATCTTCATTGTCCATATGTTATCTGGATTGACATAAACATGAATGCTGGAGGGCACAGTGGCTGAAATGTGATAACAACAACAAAAATAAAGACAATTGTCCATATGCAAATAATGATAGCTTCACATGCAGGGAAATTCAGACATTACTGTTTAGTATTTAGAAATATTTCCAGAACATTCATTTAGCTTTAAAAAAAAAATTCTAACAATTTTAAATATTTTTTTTCAATTTTTTTACAGCAATGATTTCATGGAAACAGGTTTATTATTTAAAAAAAAATATATATTGCTAATAAAAAAAAAACCTATTTCGTGTCACAATGCAGACCATCTCAGTGCTTTCCTATTTATTATTAATATAATTATAAAAATCGATATAACTTTACGAAAGAAAAAGTAGTTAATTTTCTTTTAAATTTTTTTTTGTTTTGTATATTTTCCCAAAAGACTAAAATGTTTAAAAAAAAAAAAAAAAAAAAAAAAGACATGGTCACAATGATATAACGCCTTTTGTTCCAAGGAAATTATTTCTTCAATGGATTGTTATACATAGCAAACTTCCAAAGTTGATATCACTACACAGCAATTTTGAAGCTACCATTTCCTTTTATAGCTCTCTGTAAAAGTGAAAACATTTCTGTTGGATCAATATTCAGAGATGGTCGTTATCAGGCCCTCAAAACCTGACATATGGTATATTTCTGTGGCTAAGAGAACTTACATGGTAGTGTCCATCACCTTACCAAGCATCATGTGACAAGCAGTACAAGCTTATGATGATATTAATAGCACAAAACATCAAAATCTTTTTGGTGAAATATATACACATGTATAAGTCTACCATATATACTTATGTATAAGCCTACTTCATGCACGGTGGAGTAATGGATAGTGGCTCAGATTGAGGAATCAGAGAGCTGAGTTCGAATTCCAGTCAGATCCATTACATTCACTTACGTGCTAATACCCTTGGGAAAGGTATGTATCCTCTTCTTCTCTCCCCAGTTATGGGTAAATAGCAGGACAGACCAGGTTCTATAGTCTTGGATGGCAACTGGTCTACCGTAAAAAGAAATGGCAACCTACTGCAGTAAAAAAATCTGCCTCATCAGTCATATATCAAAAGACACATGATCGCTTAAGTGTGTATTACGCATGGCACATAACTGACTGACTAGTAGGCCTACCATAGCCAAATATTGTAATACTAGGCATCATCCTGGACGTATTTTATAGCAAATAAATGGTCTTCATTCCTTTTTGTACAAAGCTAACCCAAAATAGTGAGAAAAACCACTTACCATAAAATATCTGACTACAATAGCTCCTTTACCCTGGGCCTCCCTCCTACATAGGTACGTTACAATCACTAAAAATACATGAATACCCTTCCAGAAAAATGTGCAACCAGTCACTGAAAATGCATGATTTTTAAACTCATCAAAAAATTTACCTATGTATAGTGCAACCCCATATTTTTTGCATAAAAAACTAATCTTAAAAACTTGCATTATACTAAAGTATATGCAGTAATGAGATCTGTATAATAAAAGGTACAAATATTTAACAAACCACCTAAAGGAGACTGCCTTAATTTGAAATCTTAATATTGTTTTCATGCCAGATGGGTATTACAGATTTTATTAACATATGAATATAAATTCTTAGAAGTGGATATTTTCCTATAAATCTGTGAATTTGTACATTATTTACATTATTCAGACTGTTGTCCTCATCTTTGTCGCCATATTTATTACGTTTCGGCTGTTGTATGCTCTGGCCTTCTTCAGGTGGTTGGAATGTCAAACTGAACCCTTTATTTCGCTCGCTGAGGTGGACTGTTCTAGTTCCACGTGCCATGTTTAATGGATGTCAGTTATCTCCTGTTAATTCCCCTCTCCAAGTTCTCAACTGCCTTAACCGGGTATTGAACTAACACTCACAACAGTCCGAATAATATAAATAGTGTACATAATACCTCATCTCAGAAATATAGACAGATACTGTGAATTTGTCTTTATTGAAATTTTCAGGATTTTGTTTTATCCAAAGAGGCAATACTAAGTAGTAGTTTTTCATCATTAGGCTTCATGCCTAGCCACTTTTCAGCCTGAAATTTGATTGTCTATTCATCAGTGACCAGGCAAAATATTGCTTAATATAATTAGTCTTAGTATTGTTTTATCAAATTCTCTAAATCCATCCATTAAGGCTGTGAAAACTTGGAATTCCAGTCATCAATGCTATTTCCATTCAGAAGAGCTCTTTGCGCCAATTTTTTTTTTAAGTAGTTAATTGCAAAAAACACACATTTGTTTATGTCTAATTTCATAGGAAATATTTTGTTTTTTTGATCAATTTAGTCATTTTCAACAGCTTTATGAGTTATTTAAAGCCAGAAAATATTTCTACACTATAAAAATTGTTTTTTGAGATAATAATGGTCTTATTAATTAACCCATAGCTGGGGGGGGGGTAAAAGGTGTATTCATACCTTTCCCAAGGGTATTTGCACGTAAGTGAATATAACATAACGGGAATTGGAACTCAGCTCTCCGATTAACTATTCCAAGTAATTATCCATTACACCTCCCATGCATCCAAACTTATAATATCTGGTATCCTCAAGTGGTCACCCATCTAGGTACTGGCCAGGCTCTATGTTGCTTAACTTCAGTGATCCTACAGGAACCTGTGTTTCCATGTGATGTGGCCATAAGCATAAAAATTTTTGGTCTCATTGACAGTGAGGTCAATAATCATTGTCTATTCTAAATCAAATCTTTATATGTGACATTAGTAGCAATATGAGGAAAACCTTTCTTAAATACATCCATCCACACAAAATCCTTGCTATGTAATTCTTTATCACAAAGGTAAATAAAAGAGATAATGCAATTAGTTTGTTTTTGTTGTTTGCATATCTGATCTTCGGACTACATTGATGAAAAAATGTAAATAAAAGTGAAATAGACTGTCACTGAAAAACTTAGGAAACCTTAGAAACACAAGGATATGACTTAAAAGGTACATGAACACAGAATTAAACAGGAATATATTTTCTTTTTCTTTTACATTAGTTAATGTCATTAGGCTACCATCAGAAAAAATTAAAACTGAAAACATTCACAAAGCACAATATATTTCCTGGAAGTGTAAAGAAAAACTATGTACAATATCTGATAACTTGTAAACAATGTAAAACAAAAATAGTGTTTTTCATTTTTTTTTTTTTTTTTAAATTATCTTCTTTCTTGCCTGCAACCCTGTTTTTAACTTGTCAAACTGATGTTGTTGTCTGAAGCTGCCTGTTGTGCAACTTCAAATGTCTTTTCAAGTTAGTCATTTGGGAAAAAGAACGCTGACAGTGAATACATTTAAAGGGCTTCTCACCTGTATGAGTCCTGATATGTTCCCTCAGCACACTTGACCGAGTGAAACCTTTCTCACAAAATGTGCACTGAAATAGTCTCTTGGAGTGGCTTTTAAAATGAGCACTTAACTTCCATCGATTGGCAAATGTTTCTTTGCATATCTTGCAAATATGTGTTATTTTGGAAGGTTTTGAATGTTCCGCTCTCAGGACTGGGGCTTTTATTCTTGGATTTTTGATGGGACGATTATTATTGGAACCATAATCATCACTAGGCAATGGTTCTTTATTTGCTGCTATTTCTGTTTTGGTTTCAACTGTAGACATAAAATTAGGGTCTGTAATTTTGGTTGGGATTCCTGGCTGCAATGGAACCTTAGTTTGATTTTTTTCATTTACATGGACATAAATTGTATCAGTTTTCTTGCCTCTGGAAGAAGACAGAACGATGAGAGAATCATCCATGTTAGAATTCAGTTCTGGTGTACTCATTGTTGTTTTATACATTGTGTTTCTTGAACTGGAACGTAGGGATTTTTTAGATTCTGTCTGAAAGGATTTCCGAAGACTCTGTGAAACAATAATAGGTGAAGGGGATGTTTTGCTTGGATTTGTCAAATTTGATAAAGGATGGAATAGATTTTTCCTACCCAACTCATCTTCATGGTGATTTTGAGTGTTTAGTTCAAACTGCTTTAACAGAATTGACTTTTTGTTATGTTTTCTGAATTTTGATTTTCCATAGTAGCCAAGCTGTTTATGGAAACTATGAGAGAATGTCCTGAGATGGGACTTCTTTTTATTGTCAGAGTTTTTAAAAACCTGACTGTCTCCACTATGCAACTTCATGTGTCTCTTTAGATTAGTGGACTGAGTGAAACATCGCAAACACTGATCACATTTGAAGGGTTTTTCTCCTGTGTGTGTTCGAATGTGCTGCTTGAGGATACTAGAACGGCCAAATATTCTGTTGCAATATTTGCACTTGTAATTCTTCTCCCTGCCATGGCAAGCTGAGTGAATCTGCAAGTCATTAAGATGACGAAAACTTTTTTTGCAATATTGACAAGAATAATCTTTTGTGTTGGTTAAGGAGCCTGACGGAGATATCTCAGAGCTAAAATCAGCCAACCTGCTCAATTTAGTAAGACTTGTTTCTGGAATAATACAAAGGTCAGGATCGTTTTTCTGACCACCTTTTGGTTTCATAATTTGCTGCTTATCACTTTCATTGACTAAGCGACTAGACCAAAGGGTCTGTTCCTTAAACTTGCTAGCTACTGATTTTGGAACTGACTTATTTTTACTTCGAAGATTGGTCTTCCAGGGCCAAGTGGAAATTGGAGATAACATTGTCTCATTCTGATGTGATGGGAGACTGAGATGAAGCTTATGCCTTTTGTCTTCTTGCAAGTTCTGGAGATAAAAACTAGAGTCAAGATTACTTAGAGGAGTAGAGTGTGTAGAAGATTCCAGAGCATGAATTTGCTCATCTTCCTGGCCATGATTTGACAAAGAACTCTCATTTTGATTTGAAGAAAACTTAGCCTGCCTTGTGCTTCTCTTATTTTCAGAATTAATCTTGCATAATTTTGGTTCCATGTTTTTGATTCTCTCAGAAATTCTTGCATAGATTTCAGAAGAGGCAGACATAGTAGATTTGAAACTCTTGGGAATTTTTTCCTGGGACTTTCCATGAGATTGCATGTGTTTCAAAAGCAAGGCATAGTCAGTAAAAAACAGCTTTGCAATATCTGCATGTGATGCTTTTGCGATCATGGATTTTCTGATGTAAACTTCAAATTAGTCATTTGAAAAAGCTCTGTTGCACATTGCATACTAAAACGGTTTCTCTCCTGTATGTGTCTTAATATGTTCAGTAAGGACAGTGGTGCGAGCAAAAAAAGCGGCCACAATATTTACATTGGTGGGACTTCATTCGAGGATGCTTCAATTGCTGGTGGTGAAACAGCTGCCTAGAGGTAGAAAAATGCAAATTGCAAAATTTGCACCTGTTCAACTGGTTTGCTTCATTGGAAGATGTTTTAGTCCTTGGCTCCAAATGAGTAGAAATATGGTTGTTCTGTTGTTCTTGTGGGGTTGCAAAAGTAAGAAGGCTGCTCTCAGTGGAGGGATATAGATATGGTTTATTTATTGCACTATCTGACCCTCTTTCAGCAGGAGTGATAAGATCAGATGTGAACTGATGTAGTTCAATATTTGTGACTACTGGTTTCAGATCTTGGTTCCGAGTAATAAAGTTTGATTGATTCCCCTCTTTTTTCACAATAGAAACATTCATATTGATCAGGGGTTGATTTGATAATTCCAAACAATCTTTCACTTTTTGTTCTTCAATGCAATTTGGAGAAACAACCTCGGAATAATGAGTTTGTGGAGAAATTATGGGAATAATGGATGTTACAAAATCTTGTGTTCTACCAGAAACTTTAACTGAAAGATTATCTTCATTTGTCTCTCTGGGATTTTCTCCCACGTTTCTTGTTAAGGAATAGCATAAACCAGGATCTTCCCTATCGGTTTTAATTTGCTCAAACTGAACTGCACTGGAGCTGTGTGCATCTGATGACACAAGAGGATTCTGGAGCTGTTCCTGGATGCTTATGGACTCACAATTTGTCTGTGAGTTGCTCACTTCCAGGACAACTTCTTTACTAGCATTCTCAATTTCATCATTTTGAATTTGATCTTCCTTTTGTTGGCTGATGTTTGATAATGTCTTCGGATTAAAATCATTATCTGTCAAATTTTCTGCTGATTCTCCTTCGCCAATTGCAGAATTTTTTGTGGGAAGCAATTTTGTCTTTGATCTTGTCCTTCTTTGCCTATTCTTCGGATTTTCGCTGATTTTTAAACCTTTGCTAAATGTCTCAGTTTCTTTACAGAAAGGAACTGTTTTCTGATATTCTTTGGTAGCATTCTCTTGATACTTTTCTTCTGAATGCACACAAAGATGTTTGGAAAGGAGCGACAATTGCTTAAAGCTTGCTTGGCAGTATTTGCAAACAAAAGAACCATTCCTGGCATGGATTTTCTGGTGACGCTTCAAATTTGTAGCTTGGGAGAACGGACGTAGACACAGCTCACAGACAAAGGGTTTCTCACCTGTATGTGTACGTATGTGCTCAGTGAGAACACTGTTCCGTGCAAACACTTTGGTACAATATCGGCAAGAATAACGCTTCACTCCACCAGAATGCTTTCTTTGCCTATGCCGACTCAGCTCTGAAGAATTTGAGAACTTTTCCTTACAGAGATTGCAGAAATATGGTAGCAGTAATTGGGAACAGGTTTTCCGATGCCTGTTGAGTGCATCAGAGTTAGGAAAGGTAGCATGACAGAGTCGACAGGTGGATGTCATCGTCATTTCTAATTTGTGATGGCTGCGTAAGTGCCTACATAGCACCTGGCTGTGATGGAACAACTTGTTGCAATACGTAAGGGAATTCTTTAAATGAAACAACCGAATTTGAATTTTTAGGGGCCAATTCAGATTGCTTCTCAATATTTTGTTCCTTGGGTTCTAGTTTCACTTTGACACTTAATGGATGGACAGGGCTAACCAAAGTTGTGGCATCTTCATTTATCAGAGATTCCCCAACAGTTTCATAATTACCAATAAACAGATCTTTGCTTATAGAATTAGTCTTTGCCTGATTTTTATGAGCAGATCTCCATAAAATTCCAACACCATTATTTTCATAATTTTTGGTTAATTCTTTTTCTGACTGAGAACCGGTCTTGCTTCCATTCACATTATTAGCCTTATCAGTTTCTATCAAAGACTTACAATCAGAATGAACAAAGGCATCACTATGATTATTTCTCTCAGTAATTCCTCTGCTAGAAACCTTATGTTTTGTGAAAGATTCTGAACTATTTACCAAACTGAAACAATTTGAAGATTTATTATTCGTCCTTTGATTTTGACCATTAGTTAATAAAAATGGGTAGCTTGATGGGATGATGTCATGCAAAAAGTTATCTCCATCTTCAGATGACACATGACTCAGATTTGGTTGAAAAGACTCATGACAGAAATTTGGCACCAACCCAGTCGGAGTTGCCACTGATTGCATCTCGTGTTGCAAAAAGGGATTATTATTATTATTATTTGTAACAGGAAGCAAGTGACCATTGATAGCAAGAATCTCTGAAGTTTCAGGCATCTTTGGGAGGGTTTCTTGATATGGTTGAATATTTGAACAATGCTGAAAAGAATCATTATTTTTTGAAGATTTAGTGCGTCTTGAGTTTTGTTGAATAGAATGCTGTCTTTTTGTTTTCCTAATAAAAGCATCTTCATTTGACATTTTTCCAAAGT